GCCACCGCCACGCGCCTTCCCGGGCGCGCCACCGCCGCGCGCTTTCTCCAGAGCGCCGCCCGCGCGCTCCGCGCTCGTCTCGCTGCTGCGCCGCACTTCGTGGGCGTCGCGCGCTACCCACTACGCCGCCAGCGCTGCCCTGCCTCCCTCCCTAGCAGCTCGAGGTCCGCGTCTGCGCGCCGCTCCAGCTAAGCACGCTGTTGATGCCGCCGCCGCCCGTGCATCCCCGCCGCCGCCGCTTGCGCTCCGCTCGCTGCTCTAGCCTCGACGCTTGCTTGCTGCCAGCCATGTTCTCTGCGCAAGTTTCGGCCTCTACGACGCCGCCGTGCTTTCAAGGCGATCGAAGGCCGAGATCGCCTCATGACATGACGCGCCATCGGGGCTGCTACTGGGAGAGGGTTGCTTGAGCCGCTTTGCTTCGTCTGCAGTAAAGGGAGAGGAGTGAGCAGGAGCGGCCGGAGCTGCTGCTGCTCCCAGCTGGGATTGTTGCGCGGCTGGGAAAGGAGATGAGCAGGAGATGCTCAGGCTACAGGATAGTACGGCTTTGATACCAGTTGTTAGTCGCTGAATTCTTACTCTTGATAGTAGCAGAATTCTTACTCTCATCGAGAGAGGATGACACTAGGAGTTGGGGCAATTTTCTGGTTTATTTCTCACACAAATGCCATGCCAACCTGAGGGGTTGGGGGTACATATTTATAGATTGCTAGCCAGCCAAGCATATGCCAAGATGCTAGTCTAAGATGCTAGTTTAAGATGCTGTCCTAGATGCTAAGATGTTGTCCTCTAGTTTTAGATGTTGTCCTATGCTGTCCTAAAAACAGACCATGCAGCCACAAAGACCGTGTGACCAGCACAACCCCACAAAGACCAGCACATGAGACTTATCCCATCAATGAACAATATCAGTGCTGAGTTCTGTAAATTTCAAGAGCGAGTGATATCTCACACACTAACTCATTTCTTTGGGATACAATTCATTGATGAGAGTAGCATGGCACCAATTTGTGTATGAAAAATGTCTTCCTTTTGCATTTTCCTTTCCTGAGTTGTGGATGTCCCTGCATAATAATGTTTGATAAAACTCTGCATTTCTTTTCTCATGTTTTCACATTCAGTTTTATGCCCTTTTTTGGCAAATTGGGCATTTCTAGCTCTAGAAATCTGTGGTTCTGGTGCTATGAGTACCACCAGATTTGAAAAAAAAATAGAGTATCAAGGTTCTTGATTTTAGCATACAAACTCCAGATATGGGGTGAAGCTTGGAGCTGGAGCTGTGCCAGAGAAGGTCTTACTACTTTATTGTTAAATTTTAACGATAGTCTTTTTTCTTATTGTTGTTTGTTGTGTTGTTGTTGTTTAAAGGTTCATGAGGAGCTTCTTGCTGCGATTAAGGATGCAGAGGAGGGTCTTCTCCATCTGAAGCGCTCTAGGCTACTGAAACAAGTAGATGAGATCTTTCCAGATGAGGCATCAATATCCCAATCACCTGAAGTTGCTATCGAGCCATTAGATCCAGATGATGTTGAGCCAGAACCACTGGAGTCACACGATTTTTCAGTTGGATCGAAGTGTAGATTCCGGCACAGCAATGGCCGCTGGTATAATGGGTGCATTATAGGCTTTGAAGGTTCAAGCGATGCAAGGATCTCATTTCTGACTCCCACATCTGAAAACATGTCGGTGAGTTATCTAATCTGAGCATCATTATTAAATCATGATTGTCTTTAGTTATGCTAGCCATCATCTTCCTGTTAATAACCAAGCTTGACCTCTTAAATCCCTGCTGTATCGTTTGCATTGGCATCTACAAAGGGATATGGTTTACACTGGTAGCTATATGCTTGTGGTACTGCAGCCTGTGGAAAACATTCTGCTCATGATTTTGCATATATTTAATTATTTACTTAACAAATGTGCCGGACCTGCGTTTTTACTTTTCTTGAATGGGGCTGGACTATTGCATGGAGAACAACTAAGATTTACATTGTCACAAATTTGCACCAAGGCTATCTTATGCTCTAGAAATTATTTCGATGTTCAATTCAACAAAGGCTCCTCCTGCTGTGATGCAATTTTTTTTTCTGCAGTAGAGCTGTGTATCATATTAAGAAAAAGAAAGGGGAAGAGCCCTTACAACACAGACACACCCACTTACACCATGGTGCAATTAGTTAGATTCATTTCAGTCTTCTCTTGTGTAAATGCATTATCAAAACAAGCCATTATTACTTTGATGGATACACATGGATGATATTTTGTTGTGAAATCACTATTGCTGCTACAGACTAGTTAGAAGTTAGACTAAACTGAAGTTTGTCAAAGTCTAGTCATAAGGCACCCTCTGCCCTGGTTCCATCCTATTCCTGGCCTAAACTTAATGAATAGAAGCATGAGAAGAACTCTAAGAGAAAGTCACAGGTGGGTAAAGTCTAGTCATAAGGTACCCTCTGCCCTGGTTCCATCCTATTCCTAGCCAAAACTTAATGAATAAGAGCAGGAAAAGAACTCAAGAGAGAGTCACAGGTGGGTACCTGCAACTGCAGCTACCTTTCAATCTGCCATAATTTTCTGCTTGTTAACATGAATATAATGGTTGGAGTGTACGGGCCATTATTATGAACAAACTAACTAATACAAATCTGCCCTTAGTGCAGATGTGCAAGTTCTTCCTACAGCAGCGATGTCGATTTGGTAGTAACTGCCGCATGTCCCATGGTATGTTAATGGTTATTTGGCTGTTGGAAGATCTAAGGCCACTAAAATGTGCTATGTTATGCTCTTGTTCCTTTGCATGTTACATAAAGCAATAGTGATAACATGTTGTGGTGTAAACTTCACAAGTAGGATTTTGATTGATTCATGTTCCATTTTTTTATAATTACTTACCATTAGCCACATATTTGTCTTGCTTCTTTTTTTTCCCTATGTGCATCGTGTAGATACACATATTGCTTTTGACCCTTCAGGCATAGAGGCATGCCTGACTAATTCAGAACTTATCCTCAGGTGTTGTAATCCCTACTAAAGCCTTGAAGCGATTCACTCCAACTACGTGGGAGCAGTCCTTGGTAGGCTCCAGCATACTGGCATCTTCTGGGTATAACTCTGGCCTTTGGAGGAGAGCAGAGCTTGAGTCATGGGATGATAATCTGAAGCTTGGCCAAGTTGTTTTTCAAGATGATGGGAGTTCTGCAAGGCTGCCAAGTGATTCTCTTTCTGTCTCAGAATATGCTGACATGAGCAATGAAGATGAAGAAAGCTCAGGTGAGGAAGAATCTGAGTTCAGTGACGATGCCGATCAAGAGGATGGAAGTGTTCATCAGGGTCTTGGCCTTCTAGAATTCACAAATTTCAGTGGCATTCAGACAGATACCATGATCTTTGCAAAATGGGAGCACCACACAAGGGGTGTTGCCTCCAAAATGATGGCAAAAATGGGTTACCGAGAGGGGATGGGGCTTGGTGTGTCTGGCCAAGGCATGCTTGATCCAATTCCAGTTAAGGTACTACCCCCAAAGCAATCACTTGATCATGCACTTGCTGCAAGCGAGGCTGACGGAGGCATTGGCAGTGGGAAAAAGCGCAGTAGGGGTGGGAAAAGGAAGCGTGAGAAGAAGTTTGCAGAACAGGCCAGGGCTGCTAAAGCTGAAGAAGCTGAGAGATCTGTCTTCAACTTTATCAACAGCCATCTAGTGAGCCAAGATGTCCCTGAAGTTTCGACCACCAAAGTTAGAAAAGGGTCATCAGTTGAGACCCATGGACATGCTAAGAAGGAGGACAGAAGATCCTTGGTCGCATACGATGAGGAAGTAAAGGAGCTGAGGATTCGAGTTGAGAAACTGGAAGAGATGAAGAACCGTAACCGCAAAGACAAGGCAGTCTTTGAAGCAGCTTCAAGGAAACTGGAAGAGACTCGAAAGGCACTCGCTGATGCTGAAGCTACTCATGCTTCAGCGACGAATGCTGTTACTAGAAAGGAGAAAGAGAAGAAATGGTTGAAATTCTGATATCAATTTCATGTGCCAGCGCTTCTGTCTGTTTATGTTCTGACGAGAATCTGGCGTGATGTATGCAACTTACAATTGTCCTCCCGTCAGCTCTTAACATGCTGCACATGTATGCTACACTTGTATGGCCCCATTCGGCTTACCTTATATCTGGTTTGTTTGGCTTCTTTTTTTCAGCCGGCACAGCGTTTTTTCTCTCATAACATTTCAGCCAGAACAGTGTTTTTCAGCCACTTTCTGCTAAGTTTCAGTGAGCCGAACGGGACCTATAGAAGGATGTGATATTTAGATGAGCTTTCGTCTCCTTAGACTTAGAGTCATCCCGTAATATTTCTGAACGGACGATCATTTGGTACAAGTAGACATTTCATTTACATTCCGGTATATCAGACGGATGAATACTTCGCCTATTCTGCTGGATGCAGCTAGCATTCCTGATTCGAACGCTGATAGTGTTTTTTACATCAAATACTGCATGAAATTGAATCTCGTCATATAATCGTGAAGAATCCATATGAAATTTGTGTGTTTGAAATGTGCCTGCAATTTACAGTATTTTGACTTGTGGCCAGTGGAGTCGTTGACTTCAAAAGTCAACGGTTTTTGCCTTTGCGTTTTTTTTTTTTTTTTTGGCGGTCGTATTTTTTTTCACTGGTCGATGCTGCCGTAGAATATTGCAAGCCGACTCGGTCTCCTTATCCGGTCCAACCCAACGGCCCAATCAACTCCACCGGCACGTCGGCCGCCCCGCCCCGTCCCGTCCTTGCGTCCGTCTCGTGCAAAAACAAATCCGCTGTGTAATCCACCTCCTCCTTTGCGGCTTTCCCCGAATCCCCGTCTTCTCCTTCTCCGTCCCCTCCCCAACACGCGTTCCCCAAATTCTCCCACCTGACCTACTAGAAATCCCCAAATCCGCGGCGGCGGCCTTCGAATTCGATCCCCCTCCCGAGTCGACTCGATCTGATCGTCGGAGCCGGGGCACCAGCCACCATGTGGGCGGCGTCGTGCCTGGCGTCGTGCTGCGCGGCGTGCGCGTGCGAGGCGTGCCGGACGGCGGTCGGCAGCATCGGCCGCCGCTCCGCCCGCATCGCCTACTGCGGCCTCTTCGCGCTCTCCCTCTTCGCATCCTGGGCGCTCCGCGAGGTCGCCGCGCCCCTCCTCCAGTCGATCCCATGTGCGTGGCCCTGACCCGAATCCCCATCCCCCTCCGTTCGCTCGGTTCGATTTGTCGATTCAATTCGTCGAAACATTCATGGAGATTGCTCTCTGTTTCCGCAGGGATTAACCACTTCCACAAGACCCCCGACCGCGAGTGGTTCGAGACCGACGCGGTGCTCAGGGTCAGCCTCGGCAATTTCCTCTTCTTCACCATCCTCGCCGTCATCATGGCTGGGATAAAGGACCAGAAGGACCCCCGTGACAAGATCCACCACGGCGGATGGATGGCCAAGATCTTCTGCTGGGCCGTCATCGTCTTCCTCATGTTCTTCGTGCCCAATGGTGTCGTCAGCTTCTATGGTGAGCTAATGCCCTTCCCTTTTATTTGTAAGACCGTTTGATTCATATTGCGATCACAAATGAAAACCGTTTATCTGAACGCATAGTTGATGGAGACTTGACATATCACGATGACAATTGAGTGATGATGGCGTTAATCTTTTTGAGACAAACAATCCCTTCATGAAGACATTTTTGAGTTCTGTGAGTTTCATAAGGAGATTGCTGAGTTTGTTTGAAAAAAAAATAATAAGGAGATTGCTGAGTCAGAATTTATGCAATTCTTGACTTGTAGACTTACTGGACTTGTAAATTGTATAAACCCAATTGGTAGTCAGCTGTTTTTATTTGTCAGAATTACACAACTCTAGACTTGTAGGCGCAATTCTAGAATTGAGTCAGAATTATTGTGAGCACCCGTCCGAGTAGCTGTTTAGCTGTTTTTATTTGTCAGGCTGTTTAATTCATGTTACAATGTCTAATGGCAATTGTTTGTTAGATTGCATAGTCGATAAGTTGTGAGCATATCACGATGACAACTGATTGGTTAATAGCGCTAATCTTTTTGAGGCACACAATCTCTTTGATCAAGATATTTTTGGAGAATCGGAAGGACATAGATTGCTGAGTCAGAACCATGGATGGTAGACCACTAGATCAGTATAGTTTTATGCAAAACAAAATGTTGATTTCGGATTTATATCTATAAACCTTCTGGATGCACCCAAATTCTAGTGCATGTATATGTGGATCTTTGTCCAAATTCTGGCTGGTGCTCTATCAGGAAAGATGAGGTTTTAATCCAAACAACCCATTGGTATAGAAGTTTTGGAGCTGAATTCATTTCAGATGGAGATAGTTGAGTAAAAAACGAGATTATAGACTAGCTAATATAGTGATGTGCAAAACAAAAGATTTGGTTCAGGGTCATGTACACACTATCTAGAGACATTACTAGTTTTACAAACCCAATTGCTAGTGCTCGTGGCCTCTTTTGGTGGAAATGGAAGATGTTCTTTAAGATTTCAGAACAGAACAATGTTTGGTATTAGTTGGTATTTGTGTGTGTGTGTGTGTGTGTGTGTGTGTGGGGGGGGGGGGGGGGGGGATAAAGGATGCATTTGTTGAGTTTCCTGAACATTGAGTTACTACTCTGCTATTGTTGGTCATGCAGTTTGTTTGGTATCAATCATCTGTGTAATTGTGTTTGGAATTCTTACTACAACTCTACTTTTGCAGAATCTATATCCAAGTTCGGATCTGGCCTGTTCCTTCTCGTTCAGGTTGTTCTGCTGTTGGATTTTGTGCACGGATGGAATGAGAACTGGGTGGCCAAGGATGAGCAGTTCTGGTTGGTTGCTTGCTGTTGTTGTTCCCATATTTGCTTGGGCATCCATTGGCGTATTTTTCTATTAGTTATACTCTTTTGTCGCTGCAGGTACATGGCTCTGTTGGTTGTCTCAGTTGTCTGTTACATTGCCACGTTCTCGTTCTCAGGTCTTCTATTTCACTGGTTCACTCCATCTGGACATGACTGCGGACTTAACCTGTTTTTCATTGTCTTCACATTGATTCTTGTTTTTGCGTTTGCTATTGTCGCCCTGCACCCAAAGGTACCATCCTGTAGCCTGTTTTTCTTCTTTTTACTGATTTTGCCTATGTTTATATTACTTGTTCAACTAGAAACCTATTGCATGATAAGTTATACTGGATGTAATTGGGGCTTTGGGCAGTATTATATTTGCAACTCTAGATGATTCTTGGGTTGGTTTGATTGTTTTAGATTTCATCTTGGTCATCATATTCATATGACCATGCTTTCCAAAAACTACTGCTATACATTTCCATTAAATGTAACTATCTTTTTTATGCTAAATAATGCTGAATTTTGAACATTCTGCTTTTCAGATCAATGGAAGCCTGTTGCCTGCATCGGTTATTAGTCTGTACTGTATATATCTGTGCTACAGTGGACTCTCCAGTGAGCCAAGGGATTATGAATGCAATGGGCTTCACAATCACTCGAAAGCTGTGTCAACTGGTAGCCTTACATTGGGACTCCTTACTACGGTCCTCTCTGTGGTCTATTCTGCTGTCCGTGCTGGCTCATCTGCAACTGTGCTCTCGCCACCGGACTCACCTCGTGGTTAGATTGCCTTCTCTGGCTAATGAGCTAATTTTGCAAATATTGTGTTTGCATTGTTAATTATGATGATTCCTTTTTCTTCAACCTTCAGGGACCGATAAGCCATTGCTTCCCTTCAGCAAGGCAGATGAACAAGAAGATAAGAAGGATGTACCGAGGCCGGTGACGTACTCCTACTCTTTCTTTCACCTCATCTTCTCCCTGGCCAGCATGTACTCGGCAATGCTCTTGACTGGCTGGTCAACTTCCGTTGGGGAGAGTGGAAAGCTTGTTGATGTTGGGTGGCCATCTGTCTGGGTCAGGATTGCAACCCAGTGGGCGACGGCAGTTCTGTTCATATGGTCGCTTGTTGCACCCATCCTCTTTCCTGACAGGGAATTCTAGATCAACCACGGCAAGCCTGGAGCATCGGTCGTTTGTACCGTGGTAGATAATCTATCCTATCAAGTATATTGCCTTTGACACGTGCTCTGAGCATGGATGGCAAGAAGTCGGTGTTCGTCCACTGTTATCAAGTTTGTCTACTTAATAACATGTGACTTTAGACATTGTGCCACTATCTGAACAGTGGATGTGTGCTGCTTGTATTGTGTATATATTGGAGTTGGGTTGCCTATCCTGGCTCCTGGGTTGAATTTGAAGCGTGTTGCATATCAATTGGTTGGTCAGAAACTCACGACTTGCTGATTGTGACCCAGCAAACTTGAAAATCCCGTGAAGGTGATGTTGATTATCTCTTGTGATTAAGTTTGTGACGCAGGAGTAATCAGCTGCTGCAATCATGCAAAATCCCGTATGCACGGAAGGTGATGTTGATTATCTCTTGTGATTGTGAGTTTGTGACGCAGGAGTAATCAGCTGCTGCAATCATGCAAAACGTTACTACATACTCAAGGGTAAAGAGAACGCTTCCCGCCATTTTTTTTCTATATAAATACTCTAAACATACACAAGCCATTATAAGGCACCTTAATTACAGTCTCCTGTGTGTCCTGATGAAGTTGGTGGTGATCAAAGAAACCAGCGCGTCACACGCATAGGACGCCGCGGCTAGCACGGCCGACGCCGCCAGCAAGACGGCCTTCCACTGCCTGGTCGCCGCCAGGACGGCAGCCGCCACGGCCGCCGCCGCGAGGACGGCGAACGCTTTTTTCAACGCGGTGTACTTCTTGACGGTTGCCCTGCAGCCCTTGCAGTGCACGACGTGGCGGAAGTACCTGTTGGTCGGGTTGGGCGCGTGCACCGTGCCGACGCCGCCCTTGGCCGGGAACGAGGCCGAGATCCCCGCGACGGCCCCCGCGGGCGCCTGCTCGACGACGGCGGGCACGGGCGGCGGCGACAGGGTGCTGTGGCCGAAGTAGTAGGGCATACCGTGGCCCGCCCTGTCCATCCACTTCCTGTACTCGGCGACCCAGGTGTCGGAGGAGCGGAGGTTGAGGTAGAGCTCCCTGGTGGGCACCTTCTCCCGGAGCAGCACCTCGTTCTGCGACGACAGGAACCCCATGTCTTGCTCGAACACCTTGCACGCGTTCTGGTGGAAGTACCAGGTCGGGAGCACCTTGGCGAGCGGCGACCTGAGGGTGGATCCGAAGCGCACGAGGAGCATGGACTTCCCCTGCCCGGCGGGGCGGCAGAGGAAGTGCGCGGAGAAGCACTGCTCCGTGCCGTCCTTGTCGGTGTACTCGAGCGTGTTGGTGAGCACGCAGGGCGCCTCGAAGCGGAGCAGGTTGCGGAGGTGCGGCGTGCTGGTGCGGCCCCAGTAGCCCGCAAACCCGCGGGGCGTGCGCTCGGTGACGTCGAAGAAGAGCGGCTGCGCGTCCTCGCGCTTGGCCGTCCAGTCGGTGCGGTCGTGGGAGATGGGCACGTGCGCCGGGTCCATGAGGTTCTCCAGCAGGATGGAGTGGTCGTAGGGGAGCTCGTGCACCGTCGACAGGTCCGTGAACCCCGCCCGCGCGTACGGCTCGAACCACGGCAGCTTCCCCTCGTCGGGAGGGTTGGCGTCCGACATCCACACCCACACCACGCCCTGCGAGTCGCGCACCTCGTAGTTGCGCGCGCACGCGCTCCGCGGGATCTTGGCGCCCTCGGGCAGCTGCAGTACAGTCCATCACATCATACATGAATCCATGATCCATGGAGTGCGTACGTACGTAGATGAGCTAGTGTTCGTTTGTTTCAGGATCGATCCATGGATTCGGAAAGGTGAGAGGGAGACCTGTGGTATGTTGACGCACTTGCCCTCGCCGTCGAACTGCCAACCATGATAAAGGCACTCCAGCTTGCCGTCGACGATCTGCCCTTCCGACAGCTTCGCTAACCTGATCGATCCATAAGAAGCATTTTGGGAGTATTATTCATCTTCAGTTGCTGGTTTCAACCAAACCCATCGTTACATCCGTCGGTCGCAGAATCAGATTGATTTGTTTGCAAACAATTGAGCTGACGAGCTCGCTCCATGCATGCAAGAGAGGATCGGCCGGAGGATCTCACCTGTGAGGGCACCGGTCCTCGTGGCAGCGGAGCACGCCGTTGCCATCGCGCCAGAGCACAAGCTGGCGGTCGAAGACGGTGAGCGGGAGCGCCGCGTCGTCGGGCACCTCGTTGGACAGGTGCAGCGGGTACCACTCCTCCCTCCAGTCGTAGCGCCCCGCCGCCGCCTCCTCCCCCTCCTCGTCCCCCTCCTTGGGCAGCAGCACCCCGGCCTCCTCCACCACCGCCGCCCGGCACCTCCTCCTCCTGCTGCCCCCAGCTCCCGCCCACCGTGCCGCCGCGGGGCTCTTGCGACGTGGAGCCACGGCAACGGCGGCCGCGGAGACGCGGAGGAGGAGAGATGCCAGGGGCCCTGTTGCGGTAGGGGGCGTCGTCATGTTTGGTCCCACTTGGCGCTTGGTTGGCGGAGAGCGCTCGATCTCTGCGGCCTCTCTGGATAAAAACCTTCGCTAGTCGCGTGCAAGTGCAAGTGTGCAACGCACACGGCACACGGCACACGGCACACGGCACACGGCTGACGACTCTGGCTGTAGCTGCCACCTACCTCTGCTACTAAGCGTCCCGGTTCCACACCTCCACGGGCTCCACTTCCCGTCATGCCTCGTGTGTCACTCTCGTCCAAGTGTGACCAAGTGGCCAGTTCACGCACAATCTGGACTGGAATTCCAATTTTAGGTATATATCGCGAGATTTTTTGCACGAATTGACATAGACTGGTCAACTTTCATAAGATCTCGTTTGGATCTATTCAAGACTCTGTTCGATGATAAATTCAAACGATAAATCATTAAAGTTGTTTTATTATGAACCATAGTTGTTCCTCCATCCTAAATTCAAACGAAGTAGCTGTTTCTCGCTCCTAAAATAGAAGTCGTTCTCGCTTCTTGAGAAGTCGATTTTTTTAAAACTTTGACTAACTATATGTATAAAAATATTAATATTTATAATACATAATTAATATCTTTAGATGAATTGTTGAATATACTTTTATAATAAATTTATTTAGAGATATAAATGTTACACGTATTTTCTTCAAATCTAATCAAAGTTGAGAAAGTTTAACTTGCACGCATCCTATAACGATTTCTATTATGGGAACGGTGGGAGTATCTCCTTAAAATTAGCTGAGGTGGCCACCTAATAGACTATTATGCCCCATTTGTCATAACTCTACTTCACGGTGAAGCCCTTATTTTTTACTTCAGCACCATTAACAGCTCCGTCGGTGGAGCTGGAGCCGTTTTATTAAACTATTTGTCAAAACAACTACACATGTAGAGCCCCTAAAACATGCTCTCACATAACCTAATTCGGGGCTCATCGGGACGAAAAAAATTTTTGGTGCAAATTGTATCCAACGTGCCTCCCTGCATACCTACCATGGATGGTTGCCACGTGTCCAATCAACACGATCCAACCGCGCATGGTGGAGGCGGAAAAGCAGCGGGCGTGGGAGGCAACCGAAGCCGCATGCGGACATGCGACAAAATCTTCTAGGCGTGCGGTTGGATCGTGTTGACTGGACACGTGGCAACTATCCATGGCTTGTATGTAGGAAGGCACGGTGGATACAGTTTGCACCGAATTTTTTTTCCATCAAGACGAGGTGAAGCCGAGTGAAACCACTATTTTTGCTCCACCCTCCACATAATCTTAGTGAAAGCATGATTTAAGGGGTCTTTGGATAAATCCGTTTTGTTTTACCCTATTTGGCACAAAACGACACCAAACAGCTTCAGGAGTCAATGGAGAAGCCGCGTCCAACGGGGTCTAAGCGTCAATTTGTTTTCAGGATAATGTGGGATGGGTTTGACAGGATAAATCCAATCCGGTTCCATATGTTTGGCTTAAATGCAAATGGACATATGGGATGGAAGATTGATACATGCAGCCCGTCTGGCAGCCTATCGTCCTCTTCTTTCCTCCTACTGCTCGTCCAGCCCCACGACCCTCGTCCTTGACACCACGTTGTAGGGTCGAGATGGTGGACTAAAGGGGGTAGATAGTAGTTTCTAAAATTAATCGCGTCGGCTAACCGAAACAAGTGCGGAATTAAAACTATCGGTCTAGCCAAGACTACACCCCTTTATCTATGTTCTCTAGCACCTTCCAAAGATACTAATTAAGCAACAAAGAGGTCGAGCTAGTTAGAGTTCACCTAACCAATTTTAGAAGCAAGGTCACACAAATCTATACCACTAGTACTTCAAGCAACAAGAAAGCTCCTACACATGCTAGTAAGCAAAAGCACAAAGCCACCTAATGCTCACTAACAATGTTCAATAACAAGGCAACCAATGCCAAATTAGAGAGCGTAAAATACTTAGTTACACAAGCTAAGCAATGTGACTAACAAGGTTACACAAACCAAATTAACCCATTTGACTTCTATGCTACACAAGCAAACAAGCTACACAAGCTAACTAATCACAAATGTTTGTCATGCACCCTAAGGGATGCACAATTATATATAAAGTAATTACTAACAACGGGAAGAACAAGGTTGTAGTATTTTCTCTCACTTCACTAGCTCAACTCCACTAATTGTGAGGACCAATACTAGGGGTGGTTCACGTCTAGAGGAAGGCAATAACCATCAACATTGATTCATCCAAGCACAAGAAGCTACCACGAAAATGAGGGTAGCTGAATAACGCCTCAACTAGAGTTGCTCTTGGCTCGGCTCCCACTCGACCTCTGAGGGAGGACTCTGCCTCAAACCCTTGGCTCTTCTCTGCCGCACTCCGCACAAGCTTCTTGGAAGACTTGGCCTCGACCACCACCAAGATGTCTGGGAGGTGTCAACCTCCAAAAGTAACAAGCACCACCGGCTTATAACTCGATCACCTAGTGCCACTCGATGCAATTTCACAATGAAGACTCTAGAATCACAC